AGTTGTTGAATTGTGATATGGTGTTATATACTGTTGTGTTAGAATTAGTATCTGATTCCATGCTGGGTGAAAAGTTAGGATGAGGTGACTGAGGTAGAAGGAAAGCAAAAATTGGGTTGATGGGGAAGTTGCTCTGAGGGTTGGCTGGGTAGGAAATTGAACGATGGAGGGATCCGATTTGGCGGCTCATCGTGGGCTAAAAAGATGGTTGTTCTGAGAACAAAAATTAGTGGTATGTGGTTATTCTATAATTTGCTCGTATGTGTCGTTTATATGTGGTTGTTGTGTTATTATATGTTGGATCGGGCTTTGTGGATAATTTGATCTTAAAGTTATGAGATCTGATAGGGCAATATTTCCAAAATTTTGTGGTAATAATGATAAGCGGTGGTTATGGTTGAGGTTTTGTAATTTTGGTGCTGTGGGCGTTGTATTTGTCTTGTTTCGTGATTCGTCATATGCCTTGGGTGTTTTTGATAATTTAGTATTGTTTTCTTTTCTGTGAGCGTCTAAAAGAATTTTATAGATTGAAGTGTATCTTTGAGCAAAAAAGGTATCTGAGCTGCTACAAAGAAGCTAAAAAAACAAATCTTTTGCTTGCATGTTTAAAACAGGCGCGTACATGAGCTATTCACAACTTGCACTGCATAAGTTGTTTATTGAAAAAAAATGGTTTATTTAAAATATAGGAAGTTTGAAAAAATTAGAAGTTCGTTTTAACAAATGGTTTCAAAACATTTTCACTGATACATTTATAGAATAAGTAAGCAATTCAAAACTAAAATTACAAAACTTTTTTTGAAAAAGCGATGTTTAAATTTAATCCTCTAATTCGAAAGTTTGTTCACCCGTTAGGATACTTTGTCAGCTAAATAGGCCCTTCATCAAGAAACTTGGTTCTTTTTAATTGCATATTTGATACCACATAGACAAACAACGAATGAGTCGAAAAAAAAACAGATCTTCAGCAAACTTGAAACTTGGAAAAACTGAAAGCGGACCATTTTTAGCATGAACATAGAAAATGGAGTTATGACGAAAAATGTGTGATAGCAACGATGAATATAATTAGTAACACTTTTTATCGAATGGATAGCCGTAAGCTGCATTGTCTCCTTAAAGTATATTACGGTATTATAAATGTAAATCCTGTAGAAATGGCAAAAAAACAAAGTCTTAAATAACTCGTCCACTTCCGGTTTTCATGTTTCCGTAGAATTACCTCTTTATCCGACACGAAAAACTTGTAGATAAACACCGGTGAAAAGTTGCCCAAATGACCTTTGGATTTAAATACTTTACTTAATGTCGAAAAAATTGAAGAAGCCCGATGCTGAGCCCTATCGTTAAAGCACTTCCAAACAAAGCAGAGAAATTTAATTCAAAAAGTCTCTTGATTCCACCAATTCGTTCGGAATCGAACTGTCATGAGTCCGGCGGACTTTAATTCATAGACTCCACTCTTGTTATTGCTTTTTCAATTCAAAACGCCGTTATGAGGACACTACATGATGCACGCCCAGTTAAATTTGTATTGAAATACTGGGAACATCATGTAGCCTCATATAAACCGACAAATGTCTTTCCACTGTCTAAATTAGAATGTACACAAACATCTAAGAATGTAAAGAGTATGCATTTATGATTCCGAAATCCCTTATCAGTATTTTACTCCCTCAACAGAATCAAAGGAAGACTTCAACCATTGTTTTGCCGGTCCTTTGAATTCAAAATGGGGAACAAATAAACATATCTTGCTATGTATGGACAGAATTTCTTTTGGACAAATTTTCTTTGGCTAAAACTACTGCTTCCATCTCTTCAAGCATAGTTATTGATTTTCTTCAAGATTATTTTAACCTGCATGATGTCTCATTCTCTATTCGCGTAGATCCCGCCTCTTGTTACACCAGTCACGATTTAAAACCATTCTTTGGTTCTAATAGCATTAATTTAATTTTCTGTACAGTAGGTGATCACCGGTTCATTATATCAGTTGAAAAATTTGTAAGAACTGTAAAACTTAATTTGTTAGCAATGGCAAAAGAAAAATGAGATCCTACACTATAAGACGCTATCTCATAAAATAATTGGAATCTTCGATCATCAATTAAAACAAAAGTTAGAACGGGAAATCAATTCTAAGTAAGGGCCGCTCTAGGGTAGAATACAGATGATTGGGTTGAGGACGGATACAGGGACACAGTGATCCCGAAGAAGAACCGTTTTTCTGTGGAAAAGGAACACGAGTCAGACTAACCTAAAACACAAGGAGTCCACAAAAAATCTATTAAAGGTAACATCTCTACAAAAATCAAAAAGAGCCCTAATAGAAACCCTCTTTGCAAACAATTGAGGCTAGAAAAAATCTTAACGTTTCGAGAACTACAATTGAACAACCCGATGAAAAAATCATCTCAAAATCAGACATCGCTTCAGCAAAATCCGACTCAGCTCATTTTCGATCTTTTTAAGGCAACAATCCATTTCGATTTTCCTCTAACCATGACTTTCCATTAGTTTAGGTACAAAGCGGACCAATAAGTAGACCGGACCTCAAAACGAGACAAAAAATCGAAATGGCTTCTTCAAATAACAATACCGGGATGAGGGCCTATAACTCCTTGCAAAACCCCACAAGAAGACAGACTCCTCAAGCGAAGAAACGATGTATGATCGCAAACCACTTCGCTTGTGATGAATCTATGTTCATTCCTTCGGATACATCCGATATTAGCGATTGGGAAAGGATAGTCCGAGATTTTTCTTGTTAAGGTATTGTTAGGGAGCGCTATTTTTCGAAACCATTTAAATAACTTGAACAGGCTAAATTTCTTTTTCACGCTCATATCACTCGGGTTAACAAAAAATCTGAGATTTTGGATGAACAGACTACCGATAAGCAACCTTCAGAATGCCGTATAAGCATCATCTCCGCCGAGTAAAAAAATACCAACTACATCCCACGTCGGCACGATTCTTTTGCTGTGAACATTTTTACACTTTATACAACTGCACTGCTTACTAACTTAAGGTTTAATTATGATATTCGTTAGTTTTTTCACATAAGCGTTTTTATTTCGTTCAGTTATTTTAAAGAGTAGCTCACACTTGAGTTACTTTCAGGAAAAATTGCGGGTCGAGGTTCTAAGTACATGGTGAGAACATGAGCTTCGGACGACGTCTGGTAAGTTAGGCCAGTGGGGTATACTTTTGAGAACAGACTACTGATCAACAACCTTCAGAATGCCCAATAAGTATCATCTCGGTCGAGTAAAAAAATACCAACTACATCCCACCTCGACACTTGCACGAATTCGAATGTTCTACAAATCCGCCGGATAGAAGCGAACTGGCTCAGATTACCGACTCATCGAATGAGCTTACAACGGAACAGGAGAAGACTATTCATTCCGGTAATGAAACGCTTTTACGTCGGTCAAGCCGAAACGTGGGTCCACCAATTTTTAACGGCTTTTTATAGATTTTATAGATCAGATAACCAAACCCTCCGGGTCCACAGCGAATCCCACCTTATTGGATCATAAACCTAGATACGAGTCACAATCGATAACAGTTTACTCAAATCTTTCAGATGATTTAGCCACAATGTCGGACGCCGCCTCATCAGACATCCAGTTCCTCTCTTCTATCAAACAGTCTCTAAGATTAGCCTTTGAGAATTTCGACGACAATGTAGACATAGACAGCAAATTGTTTAACGCAGAACTTATAATGTTTATACAAGAAGTCAAAACTAAATTTTCAACTCTTTTTTTTTCAACTCAATTTTGTATAGATTTCCAAATAAAATTGACTGATTAAGTTTCCTCATCAGTGCTATCCATCGGCGTTAATTCCCATTCCTAAAACTCCCTTATCAATTTAATTTAATTGCATTCAAGAACTTCAATTTGCAACCCGATAATAATTTATAAAATAACGGATGTTAGTTGTTGTTTAATTGCGAGAAATTTTGAACAATTAGTAGGATTCAATGAAAAAAATGAAGGACAATACAGTTACAAATGAATCAGTCACACGCTTTCCGCATTCGAGTAACAAATCAGTAGAACTCAAATACTAAATGATTTTTAACGACCGAAAAAAAAAGAAACTTATGATTCATGCAATTTGTTGGAGGGCGAGGCACCATTATCCAGATCAGAAAAATAACCAAAAAATTTGCTTGTAGTTCTTAAGAGTGGGCACAAAAGCGATTCTCCGTGATGAGCTGCGCAGTTCGTATGTTGTTCTTTTCCCTCGTGGATAATTGCCTCGTCTTGAAAAAAACTCCCAAACAAATTCCGGATGATCGTCCGTTCCAAAATTGCTTGCCTCAGCGGAGGTCCGGCTGCAGCACGTTTCAGCGATCCAAGTCTCGTTTCTTCTGGTTTCTTCTGCGGTCGACCTCATGCTTTTTTTATCCAGCACAAGCGATAAAAAAGCACAGCACAAGTGTTTAGCACAGGACAAGTGTTTAGATCCAGCACAGCACAAGTGTTTAGCCAGCCTTTAAACAAACTCAACAGCCATATTTTCTACAGGCCATAGCAGCTAGAAAAAATCAGTGGCTATTCAAGGCAAACCGATGACCACTTTTGCGCCCATTCCACTCCAGTTTCGTTAGGTGATGATGTCGTCATCATTTCATCAGCACCATTTCAGGACATGTCACGGTGTCGAAATCGGTTCAGTTGCTCTTTGCTTATCAAAAAACTACTACTACTGACACTGATATTCGGGATAGTGTGGCTCCAATTCGTCATGAAATTCTGGCAGACAAAATTTCTTCACATGAAAAAAATAATGGGAACGAACCTAAAGAAATCGAACTGTTGAAATATCAGAACTCTATTTTTATTTCAGCAAAATTTAGTATTCATAGTTCAGTATGCTTCAAAACTTTGATTTTAAAACAGACACAAAAGCTATTTAAGAAACCTTCAGGTTTAGCCGGCTCATTCAAGTCTTTGCTTGATATAATCAGTTTTGTTTAGAGTTTGTTATACAATGCACTTGCGCACTGCGGATCTCTAGCGATAGACTTGATGGGCAACTAAATGACCACATTGTGAACATTGCACAACTTGGGCGACTCCACCGAGAAATCGAAGATGTTCTGCCTCAAGCACTCGTCAATTCCGACCTGCACACTTGTTTCGTCGAAATTTCAACTGTGCTGAGGCATCTACTGCGGGCTCTTGAAGCTGCGCAGCGGGTTTACCGCAACTGTTTTCCTCCCAGAAGTTTCACGACCAACTCGTGGGACTTAATTTATTATGTAGCAGCCATGTGGCATTTGCCATCCAGTCTAGCACAAAGGCTAGAGGTAATAGTCATATACTTCGGTTTCAAATGCAGTAGTCTTGAAACATATAGCGTGGAGATTGATAGGTGGAATGAAGAGTTTACACCTGGTGATAGACGACAAGTTCGAAGCATCACTGACGAGTTACAACGGTTCTTCAACCAAGTTACTAGAGTTCAGAACCACGCTCAAACTCAGCACGAAGGGGCCGTTTTAACATAAACTGAACCGTAGCAAAATAAACTCTGAGCAGTAAAATTAAAAACTGTGAATTTTCCGTTGACTAAAAATGATGAAAGCCATGGGCGGATTTAGTGGGTGACGCCTTTCCTCAGGGATTCGACCCATCACCAATCAAAAGGTCCCCCCTTTGGTAATATTTTCCGACATTCGTTCATTTTCGGCCGACCAACCCTAAAATTTGTTTTCGGCGCAATTGATTTTGTCATCATAGAGTTTTATAGTACTCGGGGAGTGCCCGAAAAATCAATTTGGTCAACCAAAAGAAGGTTGATAAATTTGAAAAAAAAAATTTGAAATACACTCCCTCAAGAAAATCCTATGAAATGAGTTTAGGTTCGGGGTGGCTTTCTCATAGAGTACTTTCGGATAGGATAAACTGTCTGTTCGTCACGCTATCTTATTTTCATCTGGATAGATTCGTGCAACTCTTAGTCTAATACCGATCTTAATCATACTTTACTATTTTTTTGTCTCAGCTTTCCGAATTATCATTTTACTAATGAATCATGATTGGTTAGTTCTTAAAGTTTTACAGTAATTATTATCGAGGAACTTAGTTAAATATAAGAAACTTGCAAATGAAATTTTGTCTTGTAATGAATAGTGTGTAATTCCAAATTCTTTGTGAAGATTTCTTGAGAAGAGTATCAGTTGCTTGTGTCAATGAGATATTTGTTGTCGAGATATCAAGAGGTTGAAGAGAGTAGTAGAGAGTCTTGAGATCTTATCGAGGTTGCAGATTCGTGTTTTTGTGTTGCAGATTTGTCGACTTCATAAGGTAGAGCGAAACTACGTGCATTCTCCGCAATTTTTTCGTATTGAACAATTAGCGAGATAGGGTTTGACTTATCTGAGTGAAGCGCCACGTGACCACGATCCGTGTCTTGATTTCAAAATCGGGTAAGCCATTGTTCTTGTTTAAAGGACAATTGCTACCATTTGGGCTCCATACTCTATATTCTGTGACAATTGTTACTGCGCTAACCAAAATCTTTGTAATTGCCACTCCAGAATCGGCAAGTCGTCGAGTTTCATGGCCTTTTTGCTAGTCGTTTCTTTTGCTGTGAAATTTTTTACACTATATACAACTGCACCGATCACTAATTTCAGGTTTAGTCATAATCTTCGTTAGTTATTTTCACAAAAAGCATTTTAAATAGTTCAGTTACTCTAAAGAGTAGCTCACACTAGAGTTACTTTCAGTAGAAACTGCGGGTCGAGGTTCCAAGTACATGGTGAGCACATGAGCTTCGAATGACGTCTAGTAGGTTGGGCGAGTGGGGTATACTTTTGAGTGTCTCTTTCAGCAGAGTCTTATTTGTCTTTTACTTTTTCTTTCTATTTTTGTCAGGTCTTTTTTCTTTTGTTCTTTTCGTTGTGTCTTTTTCGCAAAAAAACTGTCTTTGGATTATCCTAACTTTGAGTTTTGTAGGGTTCCGTGTGTTCTTAGAAAATTTTTTAATTAAGCTCCAAAAGAACACTTTATCCAGTTTTAACTGGTTTAATCTGATTTGAGTAACGTGGGACTTTTTTGTACATGTTATTAGTGCAGTGGTGTTATTAAGCTGTATTGGTTATTTGATCTTAGAATTAGTTCCATCTTCCAACCGGGTTGAGGTAAAGATTGAAACGTGTAGAAGCTAGTTTAAAAGTTTGCTGGTTAGGTCGCCAAACTAGAAATTTGTTTATTTACTATTTTCATAGTGGAGAATTACGCAAGATTGTGGAAAAGAGTTCTTGAAAAGTGGGCCAGTCAAATTGCAACTTAAAGAGTTTACAAAATAAAGCACACACAAAAAATTAGTTCCTCTATTTATTTTTCATAGGCTTAATAGAACACGTTGTTAAGGAGTTTTAGTGACTAATTGTATAAAAATAAAGCTTCGTAAAGATTTTACTTTGTTTTAGAGTTTACGACAATTAGTTAGCAATGTGTTTTTGAAAATATCATAAAAATTTCAATTTTAAATTTTATTTGTAGTTTTAAAGAACTTTTGGTGAAATTTGAGACAGATTTGGTGAAATACACAAGTAGAAATGGTGAGTTAAAATTAATTATTAATCAAAAGTATAATTCATATTTACCGGGGGTCGGGGTCAGAAAAATCCATTGTGGAGTTAGTTTCGATTTTGGGTGATTGCATAAGAAGTTTTTAGTGCGCAGTCAATTTCCACTTCTTCAGGAGTGACAGTAATTTCGTGGTGAGTATTTTGATTGAGTTTATAGAGTTTTGGTTAAATTTAATACTGTGGGTGTTTTTAAAAAGAAGTCTTTGTACAGGCGGGATGTATTCGTTCGGGATGATGATGAGACGGGAACCTTGAATGATGAAGTTGTCGGTGAGGTCACAAAACATAAACACTGGTGGACTGGGTCATAGTTATGAAAGATGTGTGAATGTTAGTTGTTTTAAAACAACAAGTTAATTTAAGGAAGTTGGGAGAATTGAAATTTGAAGTAATGAACAATTAGTTGTGATGGGGTTTCAGTGAGAGGCAGCTTTGTAAAATGTCTGTCTAATTAAAGCGGTATTAAGTGTGAGTATGAGTTATTTTTTTTTGGCCTTACTTGATGTGAAGAAATGACGTCGCGTTCTTTGGGGAAAAGGAGGTATAAGGTGAACTGAAATTGATCCAAGTTAGTGAAATAAGCTTTATATGCTTTATTATTTTTTAGTGCGTCTGACTGTGTAATCGTACTGTGTGATAGGGATATGATTAAATTTTCGTGCTATAAAACGGTTAAGTACATGCGAGAGTCTAATAAAAGTAAAGTTTCGAAGCTGTACTGCGTTATTAGTTGATGTAAAATGGCTGTGTATCGTTCATAATCTTCGGCTCCGTGAAAACGTTTTTTAAAGGATTAGTGGAGTTATAAAATGAGAAATGGGAGAGGGTAGAGAGGAGGAAGTGTTCATCAAAGGTAGGAGTTGCGTTGGCATTGAGGTTCAGTATTAGTATAACAACATTGGGTGGAAAAGAGAGGTTTGCAAACAAAAACTCGGAAAAGTTATTGTTTTTTTCCGAGGACTACGAAAGTAGGCTGAAGTGTAATGAACATATAGCTGTGACAGGTATTCTGTGAGAGGGAGTTGTGTAAAACGTGTCTCTGAATAAAGCGGTAGTAAGTGTGAGTGTGAGTTAGTTTTGTTTTGAGTATTACATCATGCGAGCAATTGACATCGCGTTATTTAGTGGCGAGAGTTACAGGTTAGTTAGAAATGATCAAACTTAGTAAATGCGATTCATATGCTTTATATTTTGCAGAGCGTGGTCAATCATATGGTCAATCTTTTAATTAGTGCTATCTAAGTCAAATATATAATCTGTTTTTATGAAATTTTTTTGGTGAATTATGAGTTAACCGCTGGATCCCAAGTATGGTGAGTCTTTTTTATAGCGTCTGACTGCGTTATCGTAGTGTGAGATAAAAAAAACTGGTTAAATTTCTTTCTATAAAACGGTTAGGTAAATGCGAGAGTCCAATATAACTAAAGGCTTTAAGCTGTAGTGCATTAATTAGTTAGTTGATGTAGAAAGGCTGGGTAGAGTTCATAATCTTCGGCTTTGCTAAAAGATATTTTTAAACGACTAGTGGAATTATAAATTGAGAACCAGAAAAGGGTACAGAGGAGGGAGTGTCCATCAATATAGGAGCCGAGCTGGTTTTAAGGTTGAATTTTAGCATAAGAGTTTCATGTTTTTTTTTTGCTGCTCGTGTCTTTTGCCGTGAAAATTTTAACACTATATACAACTGCACCGTTCACTAATTTTAGGTTTAGTTTTGATCTTTGTTAGTTATTTTTTACAAAAGCGTTTTAAATAGTTCAGTTATTTTAAAGAGTAGCTCACACTGGAGTAAATTTCAGGAAAAATTGCGGGTCGAGGTTCTAAGTACATGATGAGCACATGTGCTTTGAACGACGTCTAGTAGGTTATGCCAGTGGGGTATGATTTTGAGTGTCTATTTCAGCAGAGTCTTCATTTGTGTTTTACTTCTACTTTCTGTTTAATCAGATGAATTTTCTTTTGTTCTTTCCGTTGTGAATTTTTCGCAAAAAAAACTTTTTATGGTTTATCTTAACTTTCAGTTTTTTAGGGTTCCGTGTCTTCTTAGAAAAGTTTTGATTTGAGCTTAAAAAGAACACTTTATCCAGTTTTAACTGGTTTAATCTGATTTGAGTAACGTGGGACTTTTTTGTACATGTTATTAGTGCAGTGGTGTTAGTAAGCTGTATTGGTTATTTGATCTTAGAATTAGTTCCATCTTCCAACCGGGATAAAGGAAAGATTGAAATGTATGAAAGCTAGTTTAAAATTTTGCTGGTCAGTTCGCCAAACTAGAAGTTAAATCATTTACTATCATCATAGCGGAGAGTTACGCGAGATTGTGGAAAAAAGAAACGTGGGCCAATCAAGTTGCAAATCGGAGAGTTTACAAAATAAAGCACACTGAAAAACTTACTTCTTCTCTTCATTTTTTAATATTTTTTTATTAATAGGTTGTTTAGGAGTTTTACTGAATAATTGTATTAAAAAAACTGTTTTGTATAGACTTTACTTCGTTTTAGAGTTTACGACAATTAGTTAGCATTAGTTTTTAAAAGTATCATAAAAATTTCAATTTTAATTTTTAATTGTTGTTTTGAAAGACTTTTGGTGAAATTTGGGAAAGAATTGGGGAAAGAAAAGGTGAGTAAAAAACTAATTATTAATCAAAAACATAATTCATATTTACCGGGGGTCGGGTTCAGAAAAAAATCCATTGGGGGAGTTAGTTTCAACTGTGGGTGATTGCATAAGAAGTTTTCAGTGCGCGGATAATTTCCACTTCTTCAGAAGTGACAGTGATTTCGTGGTGAGTATTTTGATTGAGTTTATAGAGTTTTGGTTAAATTTGATACTGTGGATGTTTTGTAAAAGAAGTATTCGTACAGGCGAGATGTAACCGTGCGGGATGATGATGGGAAGGTAACCTTCAGTTATTAAGTTGTCGGTGAGGGCACAAAACTTTAACATGTGAATGTGTTCTTTTGATATCATGGATTAATCGTCATTTGAAGTGAATCTGTTGTATTGGGTATTTGTAAAATTTTGCAAGCTAATTTTGAGTAATTTCCTGTTATAAGTATTATGGTAATGGGATTTCAATTCT